GAGCCGCCCAGGCCTGCCGGCTCAGAGGCGGAAGATGAGCTGTCTGTGCGGGTCCCCTCCCAGTGGGTACCTCTTTGGTTTTGAAATGACCCTTCATTGGGGAGTACTCCGAAACTGAAATAATATATCCTAGGAGCTAAGTAAGAGGGGAGAAAACCGATACCTTTTCTATCTAATTGCCATCAACTATGCATGTGCCTTACACATAGTAGGTACTCACAGTTTTAAAAAATGAATAAATGATTTATTAACATGAGTAAAGATGAGAACATAGAGAAAGAATTAAAGAGTTTTATTAAGAATGAAACAGACTCTTTTTAAAATCTTTACTGTTGAAAGTATTACATATGTCCCCCTATTCCCCCATTGACCCCCTCCAGCCTTCACCCCCCACCCCCAGGCCTGCACCACACTATGGTCTGTGTCCATGGGTGATGCATATACGCATACAAGTTCTTTGCTTGATCTCTTCCCACCCTCTCACCCACCCCTGCCTTCCCTCTGAGATTCGACCGTCTGTTCCATCTTCTCTGTCTCTGGGTCTACTTTGTCCCTTAGAGTCCACGTGTGAGTGAGATCGTGTGATACTGGTCTTTGATGGGCTCACTTTGTTTAGCACGATGCTCTCCAGGAGATGGGACAGACTCTTCAGATGAGTGGTTTCAATGCCGGTTTCCCCTTCACACCAGTGCACTGCCATACGGAGGTTGTAACCAGTAAGGTCTTATTATTATTGTTGTCGTTGTTAACAGCCAATGTTTTGGCATAGGGCTAAGGGCTCCACCTTCCTGTTTCATTTATTATCACAACAGCATGTGTACAGGTATTAAACCCGTTCACAAATGGAGAAAGTGGGGCACAGAGAGGCCAAGCAAGGTGCCTGGGGCCGCCCCTGGAGGAAAAGGTTGGGTCATCTCTCAAACGCAGGCCCATTCCAAGGCCCAACCTTAGCCACTGCACAGGCACTGACAACAGTTGTGCTGAAGTTTTCCAAGGTTTTCTCTAGGTTTTGTTTTTTTTTAATAAAGGGAACTTTGGAGCCTCTCACTTGCACTCTAATACGTTGTTTTAAGGGAGCGAGGAGGCCGGGTCATAGCTGATTGTGGAGAAGGGTGAGAAGCTATCTATGCCCATGAAGTGTCTCCTGTGTTTGTCACAGTGGAGAAAAAGACTGAGTTACTTACTCAGGCGACTCTAAGGATTGAAACTGAGTTCTAGCCAACACTCCCCAGGGCTCTGCAGTTCAAGGTTCTAGGGTTTTCATTTTCCTAAAATGCTTATTTGATTTTTAAGGTTCATTAGAGAACTGATTTAAAGATGTTTTTACATTCTACACTCATTCATTCATAGTTTAGACCAGTGGTTCTCAACCTTTCTAATGCCTCGACCCTTTAATCCAGTTCCTCATGTTGTGGTGACCCCCAACCATAAAATTATTTTCGTTGCTACTTCATAACTGTAATTTTGCTACTGTTATGAATCGTAATGTAAATATCTGATATGCAGGGTGTATTTTCATTGTTACAAATTGAACATAATGAAAGCATAGTGATTAATCACAAAAATAATATGTAATTATATATGTGTTTTCCGATGGTCTTAGGCGACCCCTGTGAAAGGGTCGTTCGACCCCCAGGTTGAGAACCGCTGGTTTAGACTCATTCATGTAGCTAGTTACCATGCATGACTTCAGTGTCTCAATGACACCAAGTCTGCAATGCAAGGTGATGGCGCCAGTGGCTTTATTAATTAATTATTATTATTATTACTTTTAAAATGTATCTTTATTGTTGACAGTATTACCCATGCTCCCCCTTTCCTCCTTGGCAGCTTGTCTTTATTCAGTCTTTCTCGGAATGGCCCACTTTCCTTCTTGGCTACCTGGTTCAGGGTCACAAAATACCCCAGCTTTCATGTTGGCGATCTCCAGGCGGGCCCACCCGCTCTGCCTTAGGGATAAACAAGCTGGTTCAGACCCCCGGATTTCAGAGAACCACTCTGCAATATTAAATTAAATGGCTTATGTATATAATACACACACACACACACACATCTGCAATATTAAATTAAATGGTTTATGTATATAATACACACACACACACACACACATAAACACATACCTATTTATGCCCTTTTAACACAGGTATGCTACAAAATACATACTCACTGTTCCAGCAATACATGCTCCCTGGAAAAAAGAAATAAATAAGTACATGAAGTAAAAATTTTCAGAAATTTCAGATGATTCGATTTCAAAGTTTACTGTTTTCCCGTCCATATGTTGGAGTTGGCTATTTTGTGAAGTTCCCGACT